GAGTATGTATAACTATATCTATGTGTTCCCCTAACACTATTCATATATAATGTACATACATTACTATTATACACTCAAATTTTTTTTAAATTTTCTTATTAATTTTCTCCTTTATTTTATTTGAACTCTCTCTTCCTGTTGGTTAAAATGTTGTTGGGAAAAGCAATAAATAAATCTTTGAGAAAAAAAGAAAGGACTGTGAAGACTTACAAATGGTGTCACATTTCTTGTGAAATGGGCATCTTAACAGCTGCAGGGCTTGAGGAGAACACACCACACACACACACACACACACACAGCCTCTGCTACAGGAATCCCCCTCTTGTGTCTTTTGGTCAAAAGACAAAACGGACGTAAGCATTCACGTAAACATTAATGTCACCATGGAAACTGCAGAGAAACGTTTTTGCAAACATGCCACTCTCGCAAAACTCTGCAAGCTTCTCGTGAAGCAAGAGAAAAAAAAACACACACACAGGCAAACAAACACACACACACACACACGTCGGGTCTTGCTATCTTCGTGGGGACATCTCATTGATAATAATTCATAATGCATTCCCACTAGCCACTTGCCCTAACTTTGACATTTAAAAATGAATGCCTAAACCTAACCACAGGACATGTACAGACATGCCTGAGCCTCTTTTGGTAATAATCAGGTACCAATACAAGTTGGTATTGATGTTTATAACATGTTTATGAGAGAAGTCTGAGGTTTAGGTGAGGATACATTCAATTCGATTCAATCATATGTATTATTTATATAACGACAATTTCTAGTACCGGCTGACCCCAGATCAAACACATAGGAATAATGCAAAACATGTAAAAATATGAGGCTTTTCATTTGAAAGCAGTGCTCCTCATTTAAACTTTTTTCAATGTGAGTTGATTCAAACTGTAGACACAGATCTGTCTGTTTAAATGCTGAATAAGAAGAAGCTCTGTGACAAACCTGGCTAAAGAAAGATCCACTATCAAATATGCAATAATTTTCACATAGTTTTCAGCTGCCAATCAGAGGCAACAAATCACTCAAACATGTTTTAATATCAAACTAAACAGAGAAAATTCACTCACTCAAACGATCATCAGGGTGGAGTCCACAGTTGTGCTGCAGCAGTGCTCACACCTGAACATAGTCCATGTTCTCAGCCAGGCTCCTTCTTCCTGCCTTCCTCAGCTCCTCTTCCTGGCTCTGCTCTTCTCTTCCTGAATGAGACAGGACAGACTGCAGGTTTCTCCAGATGGTTTTTTAAACAACTGTGACAAATGATCACACGTTATTATGTTGTTAATATGTTTTGTTGGGCGACCTTTACAGTGAATTATGGTGTGTTTTTGTTTGTTTGTTTGTTTTTTCTCCACAATCCTCTCAAATTCAAACTCTAAGCTTAATTCCTTGAGTCAGGCCAAGCAGAAGCCATGTTTGTACAGTCTTTGGTTTTTCTGCTACTGTAGAGAAATTAAACTAGTGTTTGACAGAAAGATTCAGGAAATCATTGTTAAAAATCTATGAATAAAAAAGGTTAAACAAAATTCAGATACTAAATAAAGTTGAAGCAAATCTTATTACAAATCTGTAATAAATTATTTGTAGACATTGTGTTGTCTACAAACGTTTCTCTGCTCCTGTGCCGGGTGGTGGCCAGGAGCGGAGGCCCTGGCGGACTGATCCCCGGCTGCCAAGACTGGCAATAGGGACAT